ACTTGATGCTTCAGGGTTTGATAGTGGTGGGAGTTGATATTGGTGGCAGTGACAGGAATGACAGCACTTTTTACCACTTGCTGGTGGAAGTACAAAGCTGTCATGCTTGAAAGCCATGGCTACAGCTTATGGAGGTCTGTTAAAAAAATGTGTGAATAGAAGGGTAGAGATACTTAGGATTATTTTCACACATTATTTTATCATGAGCAAGGGGATAAATATTGTTTAAGTTTGCTCAGCTCTTTCTCTCCTGCAAAAATTGAATATTCTTTAAAAGGTGAAAGTTTTCATATTAAGATGAGCCCAGTTTTCCATTTACTTCTCCATCTCAGTACCCCTCTGTTCCAAACGTTTGTGAGTTGTTGTAACATCCTAATTTGTATTCTACTTTGAATCGTGAAAAATGTTGTTATATTACTAATCTGCCCAGTTTATTAACTGGGGTTTCTTTAAAAAAATTGCTTTTTCATCTTTTTGAATGCTTTTTAGAAAAAATCTTCAAGGTAGTTTTCTTCTGTGAACTCTAACCCACAATGCTATATTCCCATTTTATTTCTCTAAGAGCTCAGCATCTCTGCGTATTTTAGATCTTTTTCCTACCTTGTCTAGGTTTAATTATCTCCTTTTTCCCTCTTTTATAAAATGGCCCAAGCTCCCTTTTCCCCTAACATTTATTATTAGTCATCTCATGTTTAACTTTCTTGAGTTCACTGCTGTCCCATAGGGAGATTACTTACATTCACAAGGAGTACATACAAGTGTACTTTTCTGAGATGTAAAGAAAATAAGCTCCACAAGTTTTCTTTAGTTTTTTTTCTTTCTCATCTTATTTAGTGAAAGGAAGAAAAAAAATACATTGTCTTTTTCCTTGCTTCTTCTCCCATTTAGAAAAATAACCTTACAATTTGACAAGTTACCTTACCTTTTTCAAGATGGTCTTGAAATGTAGCTTCAAATTATTTGATTATAATAGAAAACAATTTAAGTATTTGATATTTTGTCAGTCATTTTTTAGAAATCTTGCTATATGTTTTTTAGTTTTTAAAAATTATTTTTATGCAGCCGTTAATAAAGAATGAAGGAGACGTGCATATGATGAGTTGGATAGATATTCACAATTATTAGGAGCAAAGGATGATATTTATATTTTTTACTTTATGTACCTTGGCATTTTTCCATTGTGTATAACTTTTTGTAATTAAAAAATTACTAAAGAAGAAAATATGTGTTTAGTGGAAAAACTGAATAAACCAATATGCAAAATATAGATATTTTAAAACATCACTTTGAATTTTTCATTTTGAATAGTTTGTAATAACTAGAACATTCTTGAATAATGTCATTGATTTCACTTAATTGAATTTTTTGCTTTGCCAGAAATTCTTTCTGGTTTTGTCCTTGTTATCCATGTACTTTATGCAAAACAATTTAAAAGTTCTTAGATCATTGAGGATAATCTAGTTTTTTATGGGTTTTTTTTTTTTTTTTGGCCATCATTTTTAATTCTTCAGTTTCCTATACCAGTTGTCTTTTTAGTCAGTTGACGTACCCAATTGATTCTGCCTTCACGTTGCCTGTCACACATGTACGCTCCTTTGCACAGCTACTGCCCGCAGTTTGCCAGGCCTTTCATTACCTGTCAGAGTGATCGCCGTGGCTTCCCATCTTCTGTGTCTTACCCAGCCAACAATTTGGTTTCTCAGTTTCCTGTTCTGGTCTTACCCAGTCAACCCTTTCTACATATTGCTGGTTGATGGATTGATTTGTAACTCATTTATCATTGTCTTATTCCCCTGCTCAGATATCTCTGCTGGTATTTAAAGCCTTCTTTCTGTTTTTGGACCCACTTTAACTTAGCAGATCAACTTCTCACTATTATATTACTTTTCTTCTAAAGAGAACAATTTACCATTTCCAGATCTGCTTCAGTAGCTTTCCTCAACAGTGCTTTTATTTATATTGTTCTTAAATCCAACATAATTCCTTCCTTCTTAAGTTTATTAAGAAGGTTGCTTTTTTTTTTTTTTTAGTAGTATTTACTGCATTCTGCCTTTTAGCAGATATTGCCAGACTTTTAACTACCTTGATTCTAGGTTAAGTTTCCAGGGTAATGACTTTATTCCATATGAATAAGCATATCCGCCATAGTGCCTTCTACATTGTAAGGATTCAAATATTAATTTAATTACAAAGCTTACTTAAATGTACAATCAAGATGTAATGAAACTAAATGTTTTATTGACTTTGGAAAGTAGTCTTCAAATTACTGTGTTGACTAAAGCCTGATTAAGCACCTGTTTTCTTATCTTCTGGTTTTCACCTTTCAATCTAATCTCAGTAAATGAGGAGTTTGATTTTTAATGCCCAGAGAACTTAGATTTTGCTATCATTTTATTTGGGGGATTAAAAAATAGACAAATAGGCCACGTACCTAAAAATTGGCTTACCATGGTGAGAAGTACAGAAATATTATGGATGGCATTTTTTAAAAGCATAATTGTAAATTCTTAAATTTTCATAATAGGTTTGAACATCTGTTGGGACTAATTGGCAGACTAATGACCTCTTGGAATTAGCAAGCAATGAGCGTTCCATATCTTATTGAGCTCATGTTTGGTTAGTTTTTAAAATAATAGTTCTTCTGTGGTTTTGGAGAACTAACCCCGTTAATTGTATATAAATTGATGCCTGTGTCTGTGATTTGTGGCATGTGGGTGGGAAAAAATATCGTTTTAAGAAGGATCCCATATTGAGTTTACTGTTACCTCTATTGCTTTTGCATTTACAGTTTTCATTCTAAGATGAAAAATTGGCATTAATATTTTTTCCCATGAAATTATTAGAAATACAGTGAAAGACATACACATTTTGGTGAAGCCCCTCATGAGGAAAATAAAAATACTTCACCTTTTCATAGAACAAACGCTTAAAAAAAAGTTGTCTAAGCTTCTCATTTTCTCATTTAAGCTGAGCTCAGTAATTGTAAGCATATTTGTGACTTGTTTTCAAAAGCTGAACCTTTAATATAAATATTATTTTGGTTTACATATTACATACAATTTAACATTAAAAAGCTGTTAGAAGTTGTTCAGTAGGTATGAATTTTCTTTGTTGTAAATCAGTGGGTGTAATTTTGAGTACCTGAAAGTTCATTACAGGAGGGCAAAAATGCTTGTTAATTGTCTGTTCCAGAGTCAAGTGTAGAAATAATAACAGTTTAGAAGGCAACATTATAATATTTGCCATTTATTATTTTGTTAGATTTCTTATTACAGAGAACAAGAGGGCATGAAAGCAGTTTAGGCAAATATATTTAAAAATTTTTTTTAACCGAGTTCTTTGGCATGCCTATAGACTTGAAGATTAAAAATATTTAAGACACAGAGGGCTTCTCTTAATATGAAAATTCTAAAAATAGTGTAATTTTTATGAAGATTATAAAACTAAATACAATTACAATTTATGCTTGGAAGTTTAAGTATAAAATTAGCTTAAAAATTTTTAATGGATATATTAGGAGATATTCTGTGCCAAATATGTTTATTGAATGAAAAAATTTTTAATAGCCTTACCTACGAAGTCTTAATTTCTCTATAGGGTTCTGAAAAATGTCTTACTTTCTTATGCTACATTTTGTCAAATTGAAGCATTTCTTTAATTCCATAAAAGTAGAAAACAAGACAGAAGGATACTGTTCCTTTGCCAAGATTTGACATGTTAACATGATCAGAAATAAATCACTGTTAAATATCCCAGGATCCTCAGTGAATTCAAGCTATTGCATGGTGCATATTTCCCTCAAGAATTAATGTATTCAGTAAACTAGACTGGGTCAATCTCAACCTCACTTATTTACACAAAAGTGATATATTATTGAATTCCTTGACATAAAGTTTTATTTAAAGATGAGTTGCTACTTGATTTAATGGATACAGTATTAAAAAAATAGAATAAAAAGTTGTACAGTTAATTATAAGGTAGCAAGAACTGTATTTGCTTATTTAAGTAACTTATTGCTCTTTTTCAGATACAGTGATAATTAGCACTCATTGATAGATTATTGGATTATAACAGTTGGAAAATATTTGTTTCATATGAGATTCCCAAACCTGTTATCTATAGTTAGGATTAGTAATTTTCTAGTTGTCCAACATGAATGGAAGATGGGAGACACAAAGATTAAAGTTAGATTAAGTGGTGTAGAGTAAAAAAATTGACAAGATTTATTGCCACTTAAATGATTTTAAGAGTGGAAATAGAACTATTGTATTTTGAAACATTTGGAAGTTATGATAGTATAGGAACCTTGTGTAAATTTTATTACTCTAAAGTTGCTATGTATCTAAAATTAGAAATCATTGGCTTTGTGAAGCTTCTCTACAGTGATAGAAAGTCTTTTTTTCTTTTATTCAGATTTTAATAGTTCTGTTATTCAAAAAGGCTGACTTGAATAAAGTTAGGAAGTTAGTTTATTTTAATGCACTGGTTTTTACCAGTATATTAATCCAGAGCATTTGGCTTAGACTCAAGCAAACTGAGGAAGGAAGAAAGAGGCTGGTGCTTTAGTTTTCTTCCTTCCCTTTATTGTCAGTTTATTTGTATATTTATAGGCACAGTGCCCTTGATCTTAGAAAAATCAATCTCTTTTTTCATAATAAACTTGAATTTCAAAATTTCCCTATCTTAGAGTGTATATACAGTGTTGTTTCTTGGTTCTTGAATTTTAAAATCCTGATAAATCCTACAATTTTCTGTACTCAAAAAAAAAAGGGATAAAGTTTCACACATAGTTCATTATTTTTGTTGCATCAAATATTATAGCAGGTAGACTATACCAGAGAACATAAGGTAGTGACATAGAAAATCCTGAATTATTTTGTTTGGAGACCATAATTTTTGCTCTTATATTAAAGTGCTTGTCATTTATATAAATATATCTATAGTTTGTGGCTTAGAAACAAATACACTTCATAAAAAAAAGAAAAGGATACCTGTGTCAGTTACATTTTGAAGTTATACACTGTTTTAAGGCTATGTATTTATTATTTAGAAAATATGACTTACATGAATATCTTCTGATGGACATAATATTGACAAAATATACACAATATTACTTTAACAAACTGCCATGCAACAAATACATTGTAATGAAGAAATTGAATATATATGACCTAATCTAATCTTGACATTTACATTGAAAATTTACAACATAACCAATACTTAAAATGTTTTTTCTTATATTTGGCAGTAATTTCATTTTTTTACAGTTTAAATGTGGGCTTAATGAAACTTAGATGTTTCCCTAGTCTGTGACAACCTGAGGTACTAAACATTTTTCTCTTATTTCACTATCTTCAAAGGTAATTTTTTTGTTTCTTTTAGGATCGATCCAAGAATTGTGTATTACGGCATTATTAGGCAGAGGATCAGCTTCCACTATGGAAACAACTCGCTTTTTCATTTTACTTTTCAAGACCTTTTGAAATTTTTGTCTAGTAAATGCATATAATAAAGGGTGAAATATAGTTGTTCCATAAGCCATGACTAGAAAACACAACCTTAATTTTACTAAAAGGTCACTTGGGCCTAAACATAAAATGGTGGTATTTAAAACAGAAATTGGTGTCCAGCAGAGAAGAAATGTAGAAATAATCAATAAAGACATCCTGAAGACTCTTTTTTGCCTTTCTCGTCGTTCACGGTGTCGTTTCACAGCTCGCCGGAGGGCAATTATTACTGAGACTGAAGTTCTTACGCCAAAGACCACATTTCTCCCACCACTGCTTTGTGACAGGTCTGTAGTCTCATGCTGCGTGGTTAGAGAAAGTGTCTTTTTCTTTCTTGCTTTCTTCTTCTGCCCTGTGGAAAATCTTGTGCCGATTCGAATATTAAGAGCCTGAAGGATTTTGGTGTATGTGATTAACATTACTATGACAGTGAAAAAGAATATTGGGATCTGTACTAGCAGGTGATAATACATTCCCAGTTCAGTGTAGTATTCATTTGTACTGACACACAAAAGTGTCTTGTTTTCCCACGTATTTCCACTTTGAAGACTGAAAAAATTTACCTCAATAAAGGGAATCAGGAAAGAGAAAAATGAAAAAATCCAAATGGATATCATTAGCATTACAGCTCTGCCCATTGTCAGAATTCGGTTTGCAGGTTTTACAGAGATGTCATATCTGTCCAAAGTGATAGCAAAAACGTTGATTGCTGTTGAGACACTTGCAAAAGATACACAGGCCTCATGGAAACAGCAGATGAGAGCAGTGTTACTCTCCAGTGAAAGCAGAAGGATAACTATTGTTAGAGGAATACATCCCACACAAATTATTACATCAAGTACATGAAGATTCATTGTAATAATGTTACTGACAGAGTTGATTAAGTTGGATTTCATGCAGTAAAGTACCAATACGGTGAGGTTGCTGCCAAGTCCCAACACGATTTCTAACATAAGAAATCCGGTGAGAGATACTTGAAAGCTTAATGGATATGATAGTGGTTGGTACATATTGGTGTTGATGTCATCAATGTCATCTCGCACTGTAATGTTAGATTCAGACTGCATGTTGATTTCCAGAATGGGAGAAAAACACATTCTTTTGGAGCAGTTGGTGTTTTCCCTAGAAAGTGAAATAGAATAAACTCTTTTGATATTTGGCAATTTAAAGGACGTATAAAACATGTGTTCCTTGTAAAAAAAAAATCTTTATTGTGTACTTGGCTTAATTTTTAAGTTTCTAAACTATTAATGGGAAAGGTAGAATTAGAATCAAGTTTGCATTGTTTTGCTCTAACAGGAGATTGGATTCTCCCTTTGAAGGTGACTGTATGGGGAATACTCCTATATAGTTCAAAATTACTTAATATCTCAAAAAGATTGTCCTCATTTGGGTTTTTCAAGCTTATTGAGATACAGTATATTTTTGTACAATAAAACTACCCAGTACACAAAACTAATTTTAGCCTGGTGTTTTAAGATTTCATTTTAAACTGTTGTGCGTAGGTGGGTAATAAATGCTATCTTAATATGTTCTAGCATAATCAGTGTAGGTGTAATTATTCTCGTGAGATTTCAAATGAACAGGACAAGTGTTCATTTAAAATGATAAATGGCACAGAGCACTAGTTGTTTAAAACCATTTGTCCATGTTCTTGGTTGAAATTCTTAAGAGTCTACAGTGTGCTTGGGGATATTTGGAGCTATTTCCCATAGAAAGTAGGCAAATGATAAATATTACATATTGTGTAGTGAAAATGCTCACCGAACTTTATAATGGACAAACTTATGTTATAAAAATTGGATGAAAAAGGATATTATGTTAAAGTATAACACCACAAAACTTGGTAAAAGAGTACTAAACACTCCAATGAGTGATTTATTTTGTGACCACACCCTCTCATTTATTGTGGAAGAAGGAAATTGAAATTTAATATCATGTTAAGAAATAACCATTTTTGGAGTGGTTTAAAAGACTGTATCAGTTAATTTTATTTGTTTAAACAGGATTTTTAAAGTAAAATACGAAATTTTGGAAAAGGAGTATCTGAAATCCATTTTCTGAGGAATCTTTTAAAGTTTACACATTCCATGTGAAACCTTTTGTATAAATCACCCAGTGTGTATAATTTTGAGGAAAATTAAAAAAAAACAAGCTCTTTTGCCAATTCATGTAAACCTATAATGTATTAGAGGGTTAGAATTATAATTTATAAAAATAATGTCTGATTTTCTGGGCTAATATGTCAGTAATGAGTATATTCACTTAAAATATAAAATCATACAACCAACTCTATTTCACATTTCAAGTACAGCATTTTGACTGCAAAATAATAAACATAAGTTATAAAGGCTATCATAATTTCCAAAATTCATGTTAACCTTTAACCTTTGACAGCTTTTAGAATACAATTTTATTTATCCATATTATTTTAGGGGCCATATTTCAGAAACATAGATAACATTATTCCTTTTGAGCTTGGTATAAGGTATTACCAGAGACATATACTCAAGTGAAAGTCTTAGCTAACAGTGAAATCCTATAAAAAATGGAAAATTTTAAGTGTGCCAAATTTTCGGAACTGACAGATTAAACATCAGGTCTTTGTCACATCAGTTAGATTTATAATCAGATAAAACAGAAATGCCAAGTTAGAGGGTAACTAAGTAAAATGCATCTCCTCTAGAGCAAGATTGTTTTCTTTTGTAAATGTTAAACAGTGTGGTGGGGTGCATGCATCTTCTGACCTACCTGTTTGCTGTTGCCTTATGGGCCTTTTGGCTCACTATAGCAGTTTTTCACAAATTGATACATGATGTCATTGACAGATTTTGACATGAATTTTTACCTGACAACAGTGAAGTAGCTGTGTTTTATTTCATGTCTTGTAGAAATTCTTTCATTTTCTCTCCAGTACTTCAAACTGCATGAATTGTGAGATTTAGTTGGCTGATGAATTTCTAAAGACCAGTACAAAATATTTGTGTTTGTTTTGCCTTAAAAAGTCACGACCAAGAGAAACTTCCTCAAATGATAGGAATTATATTTCCCTTTGAGGGAATATATGATAGTCTCTCTTTATTTTCCAGAACATGTGAAAACATACGGTTTCTAGCTTCTAAAATGTATTTGGACATCCTTTTGTTACAAATGTAAGTCTGTTTCTATGGCAGTCCTTGTTAGTTTGAAATGATTTCTTGATCACATAACTTGCTTTATATTATAAATCCAGTCCATGTTCTTTTGATAAAAACCATCTGCTCTTTAATTTGATTTGTTTTCATTAGAAGAGGATACATAGTCATAAAACTTAGATGAAAAAATCCTTTAGTAATATCAGCTGCTACGAATATCTGAATATTTAGTGCAGGAAATAATTGATAAAGCTTTATTTAGCTTGCTGTTAATGTATGGCATTCTCTTTTTGGCATTCTGTGCCTCATTGTTTCTTCAGGAAACAGCTCCACAATCCTGGTATGTTAAAGTGTATACTCCCCCTTTAAAAATGCTCACCATTTTGTTTTCAGGCTTTTGCAGTTAAATTGTTTTTCTTTTTGTGTCTATTTTATATAGCATCTTCTTAGGATGACTACTGTCCATGTGTTGTATCCCAGCAGTAACGTGGACCTGTATTTTCTGGTTTTAACTCCTTAATGCCTTAAATTCATGTGTTCGAAGAATATCCTGCAGTTTATGGTTCAGGCAGCTAGGAGATGCTTGATCAGATGCATTCTTCATATTGTCCGTTGTAAATACTGAATTAGCTGCTGTGGGCCCTTGTGAAAAAGAAAAAAAAATAGTTAATAGGGTTCCTAATAATTTCCATTTAACGCAAAGTTACTTTAGTTTTGTTGACTTTAACACCATACACAGTATTCATTATCAACGTAAGTAAACTGTATTAGTAGAGCCACAGCTTATGCATAGATTTAAGGGATTCTTTAAGTATTTTCTTTTCTTAACAGAGATTGCAAATATTATGTTATTTAGTAACAGAGGTAACATAAATATAACCGTGAAGGAAAGCAGTTTTAAAACTATTTTCTGCTTCAGTTTAGAAGCTAACCTGTTTTCAGAGATTATGAGCAATTAGCATACACTAAACATACTGTCGTTCTCTCTTGTCTTTACAATAAATTTAACACTATTTCCTGCTGGGAAATACTGTAGCTTGCTTAATTAGTAGCACATGGTTTGAATATTAACTGATTAAAACAGATTCCACAATTAGATGCTATAAATTTCCACCGATGAGTTGTTCGTGTAGTTGAAATGTAAAGGGTAATGCAAAATGTAACTGCAAATTAAATAATTTTCAATGAACATGCCCAATAATGAACTTAACCTAAAAGTGAGTAATAAATAATAGCTAAATAGTAAACCTGGTCCTTTTAAGAAATGTAAGCATTTTTTGAGCACTTGAGAAAAACTATACTGATGACATTAAGAATATTTAGTAGGTCTGAAGTGACTTAAAGCTGATGTCTTCGTAGTGAATCAACAAAGAAAATTTTTGGTATTTAACATTACATCCTAAAAAAAGTACACTGAAAATGTCATGTCTTAAATCGATCTAAAAAATACATGTTTAACAATAAATAGAATTAAGCAAATAAACTGTTAAAATTTAGGTTGAAATTTTTCAAAGTAATTTTACCCCACTATGCCAGTTCAAAAGCAGCTTATACTGTAATAAGGGAACACATCTTACCTCCGCTAAAGATTTGATACATTCCTGATGTAGTTGAAGCGTTTCCAGTTTTGATTGATTCATTTGGTTCACTTGTTAGCAGAGGACTGGGGGAAGAGGGTCATAAACATCTCTTCAGAAAAGACCTTAATGAAAATATGTGTCTGTACTGTGCCATTGTCTCAGCAGTACTGCTAATGTATGGAACGTGTGGTGCTGCTTAGAGGCTGCTGCAGTCTCTCACTCTTCCTACTGTGAAATCAATAAGCATCTGAAAAACGTAATGAAGTAATTGAACATACTGAAGGCTTCTTGTCTCCAGAGACAACATTTAGATTCAGTCTCTCTAAAAAGGAATGGCACTGCTTTTCAGAGGAAAGCCTGTTCTGGGCAGCTTTTGCAGAATGACAGCCTACCTTGTCGCTTCTCCCCACTGCAGAGAGATGCAGTGCATTCACTAATTTTGATTGGTCAGTTGTATTGGGCTTAAACCGTGCTTCATATGTATAGCAGGGATTTCCAAACCTACCCCCCCCCATTTTATATAAGGATGCTTTTTTAAAAGGCTATATTTATAAGTGGTTGTATGCTGCTTTTAAATAGAATATGAGTAAATTGGTCTTTTAAAAATGTGTATTCTATTCTGGTTTGTTGTTCACTTATGCCAAACAAAAAATGCAGGAGGGTGGAAGGGGGCAAGAAAGAATTACACGGTAAAAAGTGTATATTCTTTATGAAGCCTAGATGATTGCGCTCGAGAATATTTTAGTTGTAATATATGTTTTTGGTTGAGATTCTTTGTTCTACAAATAGAAAGCCACTGCATCTTTACTGTGAACCACATTGAATTTCAACTAGTTTGTTTGTATTCAAGTCGTCTTCTCTGTGTATTTCAAATTGTTGTGAGCATCTCAAGGTGGTAAACCTTGTTGTGACTGCAGGATTCATTCAGGTGTTCATTCCATTCATTCATTCATTCATTCAGAATATTAATGAAATTGTTCCAAGGTGGTTCTACTCTAAAATGTTTTTTTAAAATTCTATTACTATTAACATAGTCTCAATGTATAAAGATTTAATCATGTGCTTTCCTTTCAGATCACTTCTCCATCTTCACCTTTGATAACCCTTTTATTTAGTGGATATATACTGATCATTTGCCACAGTATTTTATTTCAACTGGCTATTTCTATTTTTAACCTGGGCACTTTTAATGGATTGCTGTACCTTAAATATTATATGTAGCTATATGCTAATGTTATCAGGTAAACATATCAGTAAAGGAAAAAGGAAGTTAGTAGTTATGTGTCTTCATAAGTTATATAAGGCTAAATTATTTTAAGATAGGTTGTCGAGAGAATAAAAACAAGTAGAAGTAATTAACTTAAAATATTACTTTAAAATTAAATTTCTATTAACTTTGTTTACCTACTCAGTATTGAAGAAAATGCTTTTTTAGATCTAAGTATATGAAGTCGCTGGATTCTGTTGACAAAATAGAAGACCTTGCAAATGACTGAATTATTATAATATTGATCATCACTTATTTCCATTATTTTAGGAATATTAATATTCATTTTTAAAAATATGCTAAATTTTTAATTTGTAACTGGAATTGTTCTTTTATAATTTTAAAAAGCAGCATACATTTTTGTAATCTTCTAGTAGTGTTTTAGCTTCACAGGGGGCTGGCTGAGTAGTATATGAGTTTTGAATTGCATTTGTATAGAAGTTGAGAGTGATGTGGTGGAAAATTTTGTTGTGAATTCCTAAAATTTTATGCACAGCTTTGGTAATGCTAAAAATTAAAATGTTGTTGTGCTACTTTTCATGCATTTTGAAGGTTGCAGAAAAGGATGTTGTTAGAATGCCAACCATGTTGAAAGATAGTGTGCAAGCACACTCACACACAATGTTATTTTAAGGTTTAGACTAAAACCAGAGCTTCAAACTAAAATTGGAAAAAAGATATTAGCTTCAATTAAAACTTGTGGTGGGGACAAGAAATCATTAACGTAGTGAAATCACAGAGTGCTTTTCTGCCAAAGAGCTCAAGTATGCTTACGTTTATCATCAAAATATCCCTGTGGAGTAGAGGCAACCAAGGCACAAAGAAGTTGAATGACTTGAAGTCTAGGTAAGTTAGTAGCAGAGCCAGTGTTGGAACTCTGGAAGCTCCTCCCCCCTTCCCCATCACCCCATAGTTGGCCCCCTCTCTGGAAAATTCTGAAGATACTTAGGACTTAAAATTGGATGATCTGGGTTCAGTCACTGCTTATTAGTTATATGACTTTTGGCAAATCAGGCATTCTTTGGGACACAATATAGCTTTGATTCTTTTTGTTGAAGTTTATTTCTGTGTTTTCTTTAGCTCTCTGTAATACAGTGTTTCCAAGTTATACTCAGACTATTTTGAAAAAACAAATTCTATCTCTCTAAGAAATAATGGCAGCAAAAAAGCTCAGATTTGGACATTGCTCGTTATTCCCTGTGCAAATAAGTGACTTGTGATTAAGGATACACAAGATATCGCAAACAACAATGATTTTTATTGCACACAACATTTAGTATAGTTTTCCTTTTAAAAACCAAGAATTGGTTTAGTGATTTCTTAGCAGGATAATCCTAACTTCCTTTGTTTTGTTTTTAACAGAGATGAAAATATCTAAACCACTGGATTCAGAATTAGATTATATTTTAATGAAAAATTTAGTGTCAAATTACATGTCAGAATTTACAAAGATTCTTATTTCCATAGTAACAGATTTTTACACTTGTGCATTTAATATATTTTGTATTTATATAGGATACTAATTTTGAACAACTGGTGACTTAAGAGCAGATTTTATGTTATAAAATAATTTTATAGGTTAATTATTAGCTAATTAATAACCTAGAAAAACAGTTTTAGCTTGCACATGATAACTAAGCAGTAGATATGAATCTAAGCCCCCAAATATCTCCATTAAAATCCTTTCACCGAGTTCTGTTTTTTTTGGTGTTGTTGTTGTTATAAGTATTTTGATTGCATAGGAATTTCAATTCCTAACATTTTTGATATGGGAGTCTTTGATTTTTAATTGTATACATTTGTTCCTGTAAGTTTGAACAGCCATGAATGTGAGAGAGTAATTTGTTGTTCACATTTACATTGCACTGTTGATATCAGGTCATTCTTAATCCAGCTTGTGTCTGATTCTGATGCTACTTTTTTGATGATTCTGAGTTTGTAAGTAAAAAAAAAAATTCAACTTTGTGAAATATTGTAATTAGCCACTACTGAAAAGTGCTTTGAAACAGTTTGTAAAATATATGTGCAAAAGCAGCTTCCAATTGCTGAAAAATCCACTTTTTAAATTGGATTGCTTCAAGGGTGCTTTTTCAACGAATACTTGACTTAGCTAACTCTCACCTATCTCTGATAATAAAGCCCAATGAAGAAAGGATTATCTCGGTTTAAAGGCAATTCAGAAATTTCATTTGGCTTCTCAACTTTAAATTTCTTTCATAACAAATGTTTTACCAGAAAAATAGAAATGGACCATCTGCTGAAACCTTCACCAAGTGGGGAGTAGCCAAGGTAGTAGAGTCAACAATGTTGGTGATTCATTATTGGTGTAAGAATAATTGAAAACTGATTATAATTAGATAAAGTACATGCATAAGAATTGTACACTTTTAACAGAAAACTCCACAAAATGTTCCTCCCCAGCCTTCCTGCGTTGGACATTTAAATTTTTTCATTTTTATTTTTTATACTCTGTATTTTTAAGTCATTTGCCAGCATCACATGTATTATAAAAATAAATACATGGCTTTCCTTTCCATTTTCTCATCCAAACCTAGATTTTGGACCCTGTGACTATTACTACTTTTTAGTTTGTTGTCCTAATGTTGCCATGCTGTTTCGGGGGCCTTGTCTAAGTTATTAACACCCCTGCTCTCAATTTTTTGGGTTTCTGTTTTCACTGACTTAAATTCCTCTTTACATTCTTAAATATTATGGATGCTTTTTGTTAATGTTTTTCTCTTATATTTATATCAAAGAATTACACAGTCATGTTTGTGCCTTTTTTCCTCATTGGCTTCTCTTCTTGCTTTTCTGTTGCTTCATTTTCTTTGTATAATTCTCCTTTGTAGTTTATTTTGCAGAATCACATTCATTTCTGTGTCCTGAAACCAAGTCAGTCAATGAACTAGATAATATATTTAACAAAGCTATGGCAAATCCTCTTGTCTGTGCTGTTAATGAGTCCTGTGATCTAGTGGGAGATGTGGAATGGTCATGAATGAACTGGTGGTCTGTTAGGTACTACTTAGGGCACCTGTTTAGGAAAATGGATGCATTTTCACAGTTTACTGATAATAGTTAAAGGCTCTGCTCACTGGTGACTTTGTGCTATTAAAATACAGCAATATATCTTTAGTTACTGCTACTTCTAGTCCCCATTTAGGGATAAACTATCTACAAAAAGTACTGCTGTGATTTTGATTGATAATGCAGACGACTTAAGGATCAATTTGGGGGAGAATCGACTGCTTAAACAATATTGAGTCTTTCAATTTATGGACATGGTGTCTATTATTTTTAGATCTTTGATTTATTTTGTCAGTGTTCTATAGTATTTAGTTTATAGATCCTGCACATATTTTGTTAGATTTGCACCTAATTATTTCACTTCCTTAGTGCTATTGAAGTAGTACCTAATTTTTTTAAACAAAATTCCAATTTTTAACTTTTTGTATATAGAAGTAGGGTATTTTCTTTTTTATTGACGTTGTATCCTGCAACTTTACTAAACTCATATGTTAATTTTGGGGATTTTTTATTTTTTTATGTTTTAGATTTTATTTATTTGACAGAGAGAGACACAGCGAGAGAGGGCACACAAGCAGGGGTAGTGGGAGAGAGGGAAGCAGGCTTCCCGCGGAGCAGGGAGCCCGATGTGGGGCTCGAACCCAGGACCCTGGGATCATGACCTGAGCCGGAGGCAGACGCTTAATGACTGAGCCACCCAGGCGCCCCTGGGGATTTTTTAAAAATGAAATCCATGGGGTGCCTGGGTGGCTCAGATGGTTAAATGTCTGCCTTTGGCTCAGGTCATGATCCCAGGGTCCTGGGATCAAGCCCCACATCGGGCTCCTGACTCAGCAGGGAGCCTGCTTCTCCCTCTCCCTCTGCCTCTCCCCCTGCTCATGCTGTCTCGCGCACTGTCTCTCTGAGTGTGTGTGTCTCAAATGAATAAATAAAAAATAAATAAAATGAAATCCATGGTATATTCTGTACAGGTAATTAATATCTTCTGTAAATAGAGACCGTTGACTTATTCTTGAACCACGTGTGACTTATCTTTCTTGTGTTATTGTCCTGCTTAGGACTTCTGGTATTAGATTTGATAGGAGTGTATTGGGAAAAGCACCCTGCCAAGAGTCCTGA